TTTGTCTTGTCACATGATAAACCAGCGTTTATTTCCCCATAACGATAACAAGATCCACATTCATTCCTTAAATATATCTTAGTTACAATATTGTTTGAAATTTTTCATGGTAATAGGTTACGTAGTGCTGCGGAATCATTTACATTTTGTCTTTTTTAAAATATAAGTCATTAACCGATTGCACTTTTGCGAAGCGAACACTATATATTTTTTTTACAAAAATTCAATTACATCTCAAAGGTAGATTTTTGAATATTTAAATATCCCATCCCTAACGAGTCTGTTTCATTTTTAGACCAGGAGAAAAAATTTTCAACGCTTTCTTTTGTTAACATATTACATTCCTTAATTAAATTTTTTATTTTTTATTAAGTTACTTTCTTTTCTTTTGATCATTATCTAAATTGTATCGTGATAATTCGAAATCAATATGACAAATGAAATTAACCAAAACTGAGCATAGAATGAAAGAAACTTAGATATAAATATTAAAGCATACCTTGTTCTCGCAGTCTTCTCCGTCACCATCCCTGAACACATTCTTTTGGAATTTCTCATCACTTCGGTTGTCATGGATATCGTCTGCGTCATCAGAACTGAAATTCTCTTCCTTATCAGACTCATCAGTGACGTCAATTTCTTCACATTCAGATTTCATGTCGTCAACTTCCGGTGACCCAGTTTCTTCCACCAATGGGTGAAGTTGTCTGTTTACTGGTTTAAAAGCCGAGAATCTGTCGCCATGACTACTTGTATCACTCTCCTCATCTTCCTTCTTATTGGTCAATTTATCTACAGTGTGTTTAAATGGCTGACCATTCGATATCATTGGTTGTTTATTTACTACGTTGTTATAGAAACCATTACGTAATCCACCACCGCGAGAAAATGCGAGAGTGTTAGCCCAAAATAGATCATAGGCTTGGAAAGGGAGGTTATTCTGTGATCCCCACAAGTTTGTACTCAGACTAGCTTTAGCAGTTTCCGGTAGGTCTTTAGCCTGTGGGTACGTGAGTCCAAAGTTGTTAGTAGTTTGTAGAGCAGGGAAGGGGTATGGTTTGTTCGGTGGTGAAAACATATTATAAGATGGATATTGACTAGAGTATGGAGATTTCGATAAAAACGAAGAATCGTGTGAGGTCTTCAACTTCTTCGGTAATTCTGTGCGTGAAGAGCTGCTACTGCTCACAGAGACACTGTTCAATATCCGCTTCCGACTGCCGCCATTAAACATGGCCTTGACATCCTCCCATGCGTAGGAAAAATCACTCTTTTCTGCTTCGCTTGTTAGTTTTAAATGGCGTCTCCATGAATTGAAATTAGCAGCATCCGGGTGGTGGTATTTGGAAGTCGGAGTCCGATGATTGTGAAAAATGAATTTATTCGGAGAAAGATGCATATTGCATAGGCTGCACTTGATGCACTTTGCCCGGGAGCTGTTGTACCGTGACGGCTCGAAAAAACCAGTACAGCCCCAACCACACTCGTGATAAACTTCGAATGAGAAATTTTCCGGTAGTTTAGGTGGAGTGCTATCTTCTAGAAACGATTTGACCAATCGTTCAGCTTCTCTTTTGGTAATCATACCACATCGACGCGAGGATACGGGCATCGCACCAGCACGGCGCAAGATTTCGAGCTGAACCGGTGTACATTGGACACAGGTAATACCTAAAGCGACTCTTCTGTTATGTATTTCGTTATAGCTGTATTCCTTAAGCAGTGTGTTCGATATCTGTGCCAGACACAATCTCTCCTTTCCGTCGATTCGTAGGCAGACAATACTGACGTTGTGTAGGTTGACAGTGGTAACAGTGTTCTGACGAACGTTAGACGTGGGTTGAACTCGTTCTAGAGTAGGTATATTGAGGGGTGAGGTCGAGTTGATGGATGATGAAGGAGATTTTGGGTACTCGTCCACGACAGGTGTGTTCATTCTGTTGGGACTTCTGTGATCTTCTGGTTTTCCCAGTTCCATTGTTCCTGAAAATAGAAAATATATGCCATTAGTCCAAAAATAAAACATTTACCCATCATTTTGGGTTTTTGGTGTAAAAACATATGTCCTTGTCAATAACGACAAAAGAAAATATCATTTCATTACATATTCCTTACAGATGGAAATCATAAAAGTTCACACAGACATACTTCCATTCTGCGTTGAGGTTTGTCCCTGTTGAAGAGTTCAAATAGTTTACGGAGTATATATATTTGCAATGACTGTTAATAAGATGAGAACTCAGATCAATTCAAGATGACACTCTTTTAATAAAAACAATCATTCTCAACTTACACCGAGTCAGAAATCATCTCCCGTAAAATACCAAAGATTAACGTTTTTAATCAATTCATTTTTGTTTTCATGAATTCTTATTATGTTTAGATGTCGCACGTTTTCAATGCCTAATATTAATTAAGAGATTAGACCTGACATTCGAGACACATACCATATGGCCTGGATACTCGATCATCATGACGCGTGTAAGTGAAGAAAGGAAAGGGCGGATCGGAGATCAGTTTTCTGTCATTTGAGAACAGATTAGCAAACCCTTCGGTTTGATCAAATGAATTAAAGTTTTAATGGAAATATAAACTCTATGATGTCCTGCATGGGTCCCGTTTCTCAAGATGTCTTGCAATAAGATTTGTACATTGAGAATTATAAATTGTAAAATATTTTGTGAAACGGAAAATTTCTCAAGGCAAAAGATTGTCTATGAAGTGAAAGCCTGGTTTTAAACCCTTTGTTGTGGAAATATCAGCATCCACCAGACGACCCCATACTTATGGCAGAGTAGGCGTGTTCATAAATCTTTATATTCAAATTTGATTATCCAGTACATTTCTGATTATCTTATGAAACTATTCAATTTTAACTATAACTCATATGTCTAAACTATTTTATCCTAGTTCAGTACAATATCTAGAAGTTATATTTAAACTTATCTATAATTGACTGAGAAGAAAGTAACAATTTTATTTTCCCACTCAATGTTAAATTTATATAACATATTAAATTAAATAAGGAAACTAATTCAATACATCACTGCAGTAAAAATAAACCCCTATTTAAATCACAAGTTATAAGTCAAACTCAAAGGCCTAGTTAGAACCCCTAGCATGTTTATCGAAGGGGGGGGGGGGGGGGTGTTTGTACTGTTATTATATAAAATTATAAAATATTGTCTTTAGGTGCAACGAATACCTGAAATTGTCGTCTAACAGAAAATGCTTGGACAACTGTATCATAAAAGTGAATTCCGTTTGCTATGTAGTCGCTTGTATTTGATGTGAACTGGGCTTTAGCTTCCATCGCTTACACCAGGCAGGTTGTGAATTAAAGTCTAAGTTAATTTCACACGTGAATATCTTCAATATAATTACAGATCTAATATTTTCATAAAAAAATGTTCGAAATATATTTGAATTACACCTGACTAGATGTAACTAGGGAGCTTGTCTTTATCTACCTCTATGAAATAAGAGTTTCTTGGCTAATGTGCACATATTCTTTTGACCCAATATTATATAGGCGTACTTCTCCCGTATACTTTATAATATATGTTTGTTTGACACCTGTATAAAGAAAGTGAAATAGAAGGTTTGGCTGAGCAATATGAAAATTAACAAAGTATTTATTTAAGAAACGGTTTGATTCTTTATCCTTTGCCACCTTAGGCACAAACTTAGACTGAGCATTATAATTAATTTACCAAGATAAGAATTAATCAAAGTACTAATTAAAGAAAAGTTTCTGATTTTTTATTATATGAAGTAATAAAATCCATGTATCTATTATAATAACTAGTGGATCTAATTTTGTGGGTTTCATCACTTTCTGAAGAATGTAAATTGAAATATATATTTCCTCATAGTATTATCACAGATATCATGGACCTAAATTTATTCAAATTTATCTTGATTTTGCATCGGGTTAGATTAAACAGGGAGTAATAATATACAGAAATAATGTAGTTTTGATCTTTATTCATTTTTCATTTATTTCATTTGCAAAATTTTTCATTTGTGAAATCAAAATATATAATTATCTAAACGTACGAAAGATTTGGCAGCAACAACCTATGATCAAAATTGACAGGTTTTAGATTGTGACTTTTGATAGAATATTTGTACTATATATTTCAATGCGCAAAAAATATCACGCAAAGTTATCGGAAGATATGAAATATATCGATTGTCTTTGTTTAAAAACATCATCTAATATTCTTATGATAATTTCATAAACAATATTAATATCGAATAGACCACGTTTACCGCTATACTAGAATTCCACCGGTCACGTGGACTATAGATAATTCATGAGTTATACACGTATGTCTGAGACTAGAGGAATAAAAGACTAACTCCTTGGTGACACGTGATGTAAAGAATATTCGGTGCTGAATAATTTACCAGGTAATTACAGGTGAGCTGAAAGATGGGAATTAATTAATATTTCATAATCATTAATTAACGTTATATTTTTGTCTTTCTTCACTTTTTGTCGCTAAACTGAAAGGAAAAAAAATAACTTAGAGACGTGGATAGCGGAACGGAATACAAAAAAATTGTTAGAATTCAAAATGGAGTCTCCTTTATTGAGAATAAAAAGTTTTATTCAAATGAAAATATTCTTACAGATCGATCTTAGGTAGAAGGGAGAAAAAAGGTTATGTTAATTGTAATTTTTGTGTTAGAGAAAATAAGTTAACATGAAATTTTTTACCTTTTAAATTTTGTGACACTTAAAATCCATTCAATGCATTGCAGAGGAACTTAACTTTAAGGTCTAATTAATTAAGACGAAAGATAGAGACAGTTTCATCGCAAGAAAAGTCATTAAAGAAACCAGGAGAAAATAATAATTAAATGTTCGAAATATTTGTTAACAAATGTTGAAAAAAATACCATAGCGTACCAAAAGAAAATATTAATGCAATACTTGTCCAATATCCTTTCATTATTTTTTACTATAATTTTTGGACTGTAATTTAAATTACAAGAAAAGGGACACATTTTAATTTCTGTAACAAACAAATTTTTTAATGAGTTTTATGGAATTTATTGGAGATGTCCTTTTATGTGCGCTAGTTTACACAATTAGTAGCTTGTTTACTTTCATACCTTAACATTTTTTACTCATCCTCGGGGAAAACTATCTTTAAAATATGGAAAAAGACGTTCAGATTGGCATGGTAGAAGGGAAATCATATTTCGAGAGTATATCTTTTTTAGTAAGTTATAACCTAGTTTGAAGTGAGAATACTGGTATTAGACTAAGAATAGTTGATAAACAATCACCAGCACTCGAGGGAAAATATCAATTGTTATAATATTTTTATTGTTGGCAATTATAATATTGTATATTAATACTTTATCTAGAACTCACTGGTCAGTGACGATTCCTATTTTTATTCCGCAGACCTGAATAATCTGCCATGTTCATAATTAGCTGCTGAATGAAATCCCAATCGACCCAAGTCCCGTTGTCATTTTAAGGACATTTACTTCTGATCTCAACATTATTATAAATGATTTAGATTGTTTTATTCAGTAATCTTGCATTTATGTGTTAAAAATGTAATATGTCGAAACGTTTCTGAATAGTGACATCCACTTGTTACAAGCCCGTTTTATGAACATTCGTTGATTTTCGGTGGACTTCCAATTTTGTAAATCTTATCCAATTATTGTAAAACTGTAATATATTGAAACGTTTGTGAATTTAAATATTATGTGGGAAAAAATGCCGAAATAAAGCCTAAAGTAACAACCATTATGAAAATACAGGCTGAGTCGCCATTTAAAATTTTGATTTGTGTGACAAAAGATTGCACCAGATGGTCCATTACTGTTTAAAATTTTCATCAGAGATAATAAGACCCAACTAATTACTGGCCCCCATCTTCTTCATCTTTTAAATAATCTTATACTAAATAAATCATTCCGTAGGATTGTCGCCTTCGCAATTAGGGACCGTTGTCTGCTAGACGATTTAGGTACCATGGGTTGGATTCCTCCTCAAGCCAATGCAACTCATTTGATATGTCTGACTAATGTATGAATCAAATTCCTTCCAAACTTTTTTTTTTCATTCCTGGAGTCTGTTTTTGAAATTTTACATGTGTAAATTATGAAATTACAAGAAGAAAAAGATTTTCTTGCCTCATAATATCACTGAAACCATACTAATACACGAATTCCAGCTACAATATAATACAGATGTATATGTAATTGTTTTTATTATTTATATCAATATTCGAATTTAGGCTTCGGCGTATTTTCTCATATGTTTTTAAAGACAATATCAGGAATTCTACCTGTGTGAATTCTCCTAAGAGCAATCCTATTTGATGCTCCGAAAGATATGTTAAACGTTCAGGAAAAATTATAAAATTATTTTCAAATTATAATACATATATATTTATAAGAAAACTGAAAACCATCCTCAAAACAACCCGACATTCAGAGTTTCGTCAAATGCTTCATAAAAATAAATTGACGACCAAGAAAATTATTATTTGAATCTAAATTCAAAAACGAAAAATGAATAATTAAATATTTTACCTTTGATATCCAGTCCGTTGACTTCTTCTTTTAACATAATCTTGAAATATTAATTTAAACTCTACTTTGTTAATTATTAATAATGGTTAATTATTCACTAGTATTTATGGTCCATATCGCTGTAATAGCATAGAATAAATATTGCTAATATAGCATAGCATCAGTCCAATATCAAGTGGTAATGTCATATACAATACACTCGTATATACCGGTCCAATATCAAATTACAAGTCCAATATCAAATTATTCTGCAGTTGAAAAACTGTCCATACACTTGAATATCGTTGCAGGTTTAAATAGTCAACCTCTTGGTATTTCAGTGGTACCTGTCCAAATTTGTGATATCAAATAGTTTTCAACTAATCACTT